AAGACTAAGCTCTGACCTTCATTCAAAAGGCAGAGCAGCTCAGACCTCAGGGTAAAATTTCCACTGCTACCTGTGGGAATTTTACCACGGGAAAGAGTGCAGGTCTGGGCCCGGCATGTGAGATCGGTCTGTGTTTGCCAGGGGTTTTGTTGACACTGAAGTTCCTAAAGAGAGATAACCATTATGATGGCCAATTGATACTTAACAGTATCCTGTCTGGGCTTGCCTGGATGTATGATTCATTTGGAATGCTTTTTGCTTTGAGTCAATCATGAAGCTTCTGGCACTGGAATTTTTAGCAAAGAAATACATTGGCAGATTTTTAAATCTTTTGAGCATCCCAGCATTGCATTATTTTGGGGAATGCAATGGTAGACAGGGTTTTCTGTGATGGTGCAAATTCATCACTGTCTTCCTGGAGGTGGTTTTCTTCAGCCCTTGATCCAGGGTGTAATGGACTTGAGACTGATTGTGTTAATTATTAATGATGCAGCTTAGGGCTGTGGTTCAGGAAATGGTGCCTTTCTTGGCACCTCTATCCTTCTTCTGTCTGTGCTCCAGTCATTGTAGTGGAAATTCCTCTATTTTATTTCTTATACATGTAATCCTTGGTCTCAGATCCAGGCCCACATTTTGCATGAAAGTTACATATTTACTCCCATTGGACTACTCACATGTGTAAAAACATGCATGTGCTACAGGCTTTGAGTCTTTGAGACCTGAAATCTTCCTAGTGGGGTGGCTGCTGCACATGACCAATCCGAATTTGAAAGCTGCCAAGCACTGTGACTGATGTACCATTAACCATGATTTCCAAAGCACTGGATTTAGAGAGATTTCCTCCCCGAAAATTAAACAGAATATTAACAGAATAATGTGGGCAGACTTCACTAGACAATTAGGATATTAAGCATGCTGGTCAATCCTTTGATCCACCTTGTCAAGTTAAATAAAAATTCTGCTGAGTGCAAAGATGTGATATCGTCTATCTATTCCCTTGCTGATTGAGCAAGCGCATAAGTCTTCCTCCTATCCAGCAGCTTCAGTTCCTCCTGTGTACAATTTTGGAATGATTGCTCATTTCGTAGCTTGGTTGACAGGACTGTAGTTGTAGGGTATTTACCAATAAATGTAACATTGTGAGGACAAGGAAATGATGTGGACACAAAAGTGTGTGTAACAGGGAGCATTATTTTGGCATTTTCTATTTTCCAAAACCTAAACAACTAACTTCAAGCTTGTGTTTATATATTAATATGAATGAATAAATTAATTAGCATGAGTGAAATACAGCTTTTATAAACTCATTGCATGTGACTGTTAACACAATCCAAATTTTAAAATAATGTCAGTTGTAGTCCAAGTTCCACATTTTAAGAATCTTAGTAAGCGCTTTGTAGAAAAATCCCTTTTTTGGTACAACAAGCAAGCAAGAATCTGCCTGTGATTTCCTATATTCAGAATGTGGTTCTAGGTCCTAGTCTTTGAAACCAATTCTCCCGGGAAAATGGTTCTCTTGCGATTTTTAGTCATGCGAAAGTCCCACTGAAATTAGTAAGCCCTTAGGTGACTGATCATAGTCCAAAGGCATTCAGATTTGCAGAACTGAAACTTTACTGTGTCCTAGCGGGGGGGGGGGGGGGGGGGGGGGGAAGGGGGAAGAAAAAAAAAAAAATCTAAACTAAGCTCATAAAACTGTTTGAGATAAGATTACCATGTAGGAAAGGACTGGATAAAAATATTTCTCCATAAATGAAGGGGGTATTTCTGTAGTCATTAGCTAGGTTTAAAAAAGTAATAAAAAAGTATTTTGGGAGAGGTTGAAGAGGGAAAAAAACATTAAAAAAAAAAAAAAAGTGTTAGTATCAGACTTTTTTGAGAAAGGATTACATGACCTTGGACTCACAAGTTAATTTTCATTGCTTTAATCCTTATACTGAAAGCCACAGAAGGGAAAACCATTAGAAATATTTCCTTTCTGCTTAGACTGAATTGATTTCATTTTGTTGGTTTAGTAAAAGGAAGAGCGTGAATTCTTCTCCCCTTTAGATGCTAAAATACATAGTTATACAATTTGTATGTATTCAGGTCCCAAGCCTAAATTAACTGAAGCCATTGGAAAGATTCACTTTTTCTTGAGTGGACTTTTCTCAGGTTTCTTGCTGGAGCATGAATTTACAGTTTAGAAGTTTAGCAAACTACTCACTTGGAGTCCTAGTCATGCTGCTGTGACTACAGTGATCTTTGGTGTGCCCCAGCATCTCACGAGGGAAGAGGATTTAAGATAAAGTGACAGAAATATAAAGCAGAAAGTCCATATGAGAGATTGTGCTTGCCCAAGTAACCATTAAAAACCTCCCTGTGAGGTGTTTGTGCACTGCTGGGGAAAGCCTCTCTGGTTGTTTTACGGCCACCAGCACAATGTTTTTCCTGATGTTTCATCCAGATTTTTTGTTTTTAATTAAGTCATTTTCTTCTTTTCTGGGCATGGGGAGCAATTGATAGATTCATCAAAAACATTTAACATATCCTCCCACCTCTGTCTGTTTCCAAATTAAATATACCCAATCGTCTCACTTTTTGCTCTAGAGATTGTGTTTCCCTGGTCTGTTATCATTCTCTCTGTTTTCTGAGTGCTTTGCAATTAATCTCTCTTAAAAACTGGGATCCAATAAAGGATTCAGTACTTAGTCTGAAACAAATATGTTAGAATAATTAGCTCCCATATCTAATACATACTACTCCTCTGAATAACATTCCTGAATAAACTCCTTTTGGTTCTTTTTCAGGACCTTATGCTATCCCCTGACTCCTTCTAGATCTGCCAGTTTCCCTGACAAATGCTCAGTATACTAGCCTATTTCAATCAAATCTGACAGAGGAATATGTGGAAATCCACAGTTTTGTGGCACTCAGTGGATAGGCACAAGAGAGGGAGCATACAGGAGCGTAAGGGAGAGGGACTGAAAAGCAGGGAGGGCATTTCAAGTATTTAGGGGGGAAGAGGAAATTCAAAACGGGGTAGCTGCAGCTGCTGGTTTGGAAAGGAATTAATTCAGTTTCACATTTTGTTAGTTTCACCACTGAGCGCCAATTTCGAGAGGACTTCTGTGTGTTTGAATTTGTTCAGCCTATGTGTTTGTTTGTTTGTTCATTTTGTATTCAAAAGCTTTGGCCTGCTGGCTTGTTTTCAAGATTGTCATCCACTGTGATTCCACTATAATTTTCTTCAGTTATACTGCTGCACTTTTTGGTATTTTATCATAACTGTAATTTCCACCTCAAAGAACACAATCTCCCTTTAAAATAAATAAATAAATAAATAAAAAAGGAGGGGGGAGTATTGCATGTTAATAAAATGCAGCATTTAGATGCAGTTAATTCAAAGTGTTAGTTGGTGTATATTACAGGACAGAAAATAAAATTGTTGCAAAAAGTTGTCTACTACACCCTTCCTTCACTACATGGCATCCTTTCAGCAGCCCGAGTTTTGTCTGACTGCTCTTTTGCAAAGTTTGTAACCTACGCCTTTCCTTACTCAGTCCAAAGGCTGCATTTACTGTACGAAATCTCTTCTGTAATGTGAATTGAATCCATCTGCTGAGGACCTTGCTGCCCTGGGGAGTGGAGCAAACTGAGCAAGGAGAGAGAGGCTGTGTTCTCACTGCTATTACAGTTACCCACTTCAATTCCAAGGCTGCCCAGGCTCCGGGTTTGGTGGTGAAGAGTTGTGTTGTTTCCTGGGAGGGATGTGTTGAGTGGGGAAGTTTAGTCTGCAGAACCTGGTAATTCCTAGAGTCAAGAGAATTCAAATGCTAACAGCAAGAAGGACTACAGAGTAGACACAAGTCAATTATCACAGTAATACCTCAGTATAAAGGTTTAGGCTTGATATAAATTAACTGCTGGTTCCTGTTGCCTCTACTCCTTCTTTTCCACTCTTACTGTTCTGATGCTCTACCCATAACTCAGAGAAAACATTATAAGATTCTATGATTCTATGAAGATATACATTAATACTAGCATGTGCAAATGTGTACAGCTGCAGTGTCAGTATTTGTGTTCACTCTGCTCATAAAATATGTCAGAGCAGACAAAAGGTGCACAGTTGTTCTATTCATAGTTTAATTTTGAAATTAAAACAGAATGTCTATTTGGCTTTTGTTTGGTTTTATTTTATGATGAGCTATTTTGTAGAAGATTAAAGCTTTCCCCTAAATACAGGCAGGTGAGAAATCAGTTGAAGAGCATGAGAATTTTTACTTTCAGATACAACCTGAAACAGTTCATTTGATAGTAATAATTGCTCAGTGTGGTGGGAAAATAACTGCAAATTTCAAATACTTTTACAGCCAGAGATAAATTTGAGACATGTTACACTGTCAAAGGAAAAACTCCTGTTGCCTCATAATAACAGGTATCGGTCTTAAATGCTCCTGTTGAAACCAGGCACTGTGGCATATCCTGTGTACGTTCACAGGGAATTTCAGAGGATGTGAACTGGCAAAGGCACTTAGTGTTGAAAACTATGGCTTGCATATGTGCAGTGTCACAGCTATTCCCAAGATTTTCACTTCATACTTACAATCTGCTTGATGGCTTTGGTGGACAGGCATCATAAAAATATGAGAACATTTAAGACTTGCGTAAGTTATTAGAAGATATGTCATGTTTTGGTTTAACCAGCAGGCAGCTAGACAACACATGGCTGTTCACTCACTCCCCCCTGCAGCTGGGTCGGGGAGAAAAATGAAAAGAGCAGCAAGTTGTGGGTTGAAAAGAGGACAGTTTACTAAGAAAGAAAGGCGGCGGGGGGGGGAGGAGACGGGGAGAGGTAGGACACGACACACAACAAAATAAATAAGTAAACTATACAAAAAATTTTTTTGACCAAAGCAGTTTCTCACCACCAAGCAACTGATGCCCAGCTACTCCCTGAGCGACAGCAGCCCCTCCAGCCAACTTCCCCCATTTTTATGTTTCAGCCTTATGTCTTTCAGCATACTGCCACATTGTATGGAACATTCCTCTGGTCCACATGGTCCATCTGTCCTTGCTGTGTCCCCTCCCAGTTTCTGGTGCGCTGCTGCTGGGGCAGCATGAGGAGCTGAAAAGACCTTGGGTCTGTATGAGCACTGCTCTACAGCAACTAAAACATTGGTATGTTATCAGAATTATTCTCATCCTAAATCCAAAACACAGCACCATACCAGCTACTAGGAAGAAAATTAGCTCTATACCAGATGAAACCAGTACACAACACTGTTTTGGAAATGATATTTGCCTATGTCAAAACTCCTCTTGAGAGGGGAAGTACAAGGATGAGAATGTTCCTCCTCCTTAAGTGTGTGCATGCACACCTGAATATATATGTATGTATACCTATATATAGATACACATTGTGCAAAGTCCAGACATGGTAGGGAGACACCATAAGGCTGTGGCAGAACCATTTACACAGCAGAAGTCTGAACTCTAGAGCTGCACTCTTAAAATTACATATTGGACTTTACTTGATGGACACAATGCCTCAGGTATTAATGTAAAAGAAACACGGCTGAAGCTCTACCTAACAAGAAAAGTCTCATGAATTCCCCTAAAGACATTGTGATCATTTTAGAAGAGCATTTGAAAAACAAGGAACTGGTATGTTAATTCAATGCTGATAGCCTGTTTCAAACACTTTCATATAGATTATTTTGCTTTCAGTGTATATCTTACTACTGCAGTCTCTGTTCATCTGTATTTGAATGTTCTCAGAGGGAAATTAATTAATTTTAGGCCAGAGGTTCCTGAAGAGTTTCCTTAAAACCCATATATGGTACTGGATGCACACTTTATTTCTAGATGTCAGCTTAAGAAAAAGCACTAAAAATAAACCTGTGGTAAAAGGCTTTTGTGTGAATAGGGAGAGGAAGGATTGGGAGCCTGTATATATCTGTACTTGTCTGTATATGCCAAACACAGAGATATGCACGCTCAAATAAAAATAAAAATATTTATATATAAGTATATACATAATAGCATAAATGAAGATTGGCCTATAAAACTCAATAAAACTTTAGTGACTAAGAAAAATAAGTGTGTTTTCTCCCTGAAGTGAGATAAGCTTACAGACTTTGTGAGCTGCTCCTGCTGTTTTGGAGTCCTCCCATCTTGTAGTGTCTGAAACTTTGAAAGATTCATTTCACTTCTCCTCATTCCCATCACTTCTTCTGTTGTATGCCAAGCTCAGAGAAATGTCTATTTCCAGCCAATGCACATTTTCTTTGGCTCAGTGTCCTCAGGGCCACCACAAGCAGTGGGTTATGTAGGAGTGCTGTCCACAGCCAACAGCTCCTGTCCATGTCTGGAACCCTGGCTTGGCTCCCAGATCCATCACAGATTTTGCCATCCATTTTGTGTACAAAACAGCTGCAAGATGCCCATGCCATCTGCCCAGCAGTAGGCTGTGGCATGAGTTTGTTGGCTGTGCTCTCCCTGGAGTGCCACAGATGACCCTGTTTTGCTGCTGCTATGCATGCCAGTGTCCTTGTGATTTCGGTACGTTTCAAGGGTTCTGTTCTTTCCCCTTCTCATCTCAAATGCAAACCCCTGGGTCCTGTATGAACCTTTTTATGTGTGATTTTATTGGATTTTGTTATTATTTAATTAATTAATTGTTTGTCTGTATGGATCATCCAGATTTACATGCAGTAATGCAGAAGTGTGAATGCTCTTACAGGGCAGGTCAAGGGTTTTGCATAAACAATTACATCTTCTCCTTTCCTGATACATGTAGCATATTTTTCATTTGCATGTTAGGTCTTATTGTTTCCCACATTTCCCATATGATAGGAAGTACAGCATTTATTATTTTACATTCTTTGCCACAGTGGAAGAGAGTGTTCCTTTGCAGGTTTAACAGAGGTCTGCTGAACAGTCATTGGGTATTGTTTGGTTTGACAGGTCTCCAACGATTCAGTATACAATACTATGACTGAACTCCATATCCTGCACTTACCCACGACACTTTAAAGCTTTTTTTCCTCTCACCTAACAAGTAGGTACATGGGAAGCAAGCTACTCATTTTATTTAATCATAAAAAAAAGGAAAAGTACAATTGCAGTGCATGAGTCTACCACCCCTCTGCTTGTCATCAAAGCTGAAATGAAAAGCCTTATTAAAGTCAGCAGGCCAACTTCTGCACTCCTTTACATGAGAACAAATCTATAGCATTTCTGTTACTTTTGAATTTATGAGATTTATACAAGCAGAACTCAAAACTGGTTACCCGTGTAAGAATGACACATGAGAACTTAATAATGCTTAAGAAAACTGACATTAAATTTACCCCAGATTTTAAACAACATTAAAATAAATTTCAAAAGTAACTCCAGTAGCTATTGGATTCTTAGTAAACGAAGCTACAGTACAGAATGACTGGAACTGTCTCAGATCTGGGTTACATAGCTTGCTTAGCTCTTTTCCTCCTCTTATATACATAAATTGCTTACAAGGTAAGATGCAAAATTTCCTCAAAAATCTTTGCTTTTCCTGAGCACCTTGTTCAAATTTTCTTAATCATCTGACTATGAGTATAAAATGACCTATAAACATAATAATGCTTACATAGTTCACTGTGATATCACCTTCTTATTTCATTTTTTTTAGTGGAATCCTATAAATGTTTGAAATTTATATATATATATATGTGTTTTTATTTAATTATTTTTATCATACATTATTGTTATCTCATGTGACTTTTGAAGGTGGCTATGTCAATGGATTCTGTCTTATTTCTCAGTGATCACATTTTTTCCTTAGGCATTGTAATTAAAAAATATATATAAAATAAAAAATAAAAAATAAAAAATAAAAAATAAAAAAATAAAAAGGAAGGAAGAGGGCATTTTGACTCTGATAGTGACTTAATTTGGGATAGAACAACAAAAAAAAAAACAAACAATACAAATCAAAAGAAAATACAAGCCTGAAAAAAATGTTAACCACAAGCTGGTACATCTGTTTGAAAAATAAAATTAGTTTTATGTTAATTTGTATGTTAATTTAGTCCCAAAATTGTAAATCAGCTGGGATATTACTGAAAGCTGAGTGTTGACATGTACAGTCTAAGCCTTAGAAACCATACTTTTGTTTTAGATAATGTCAAGAAAATAACTCTTTGCTTTCTGAAGAAAAATATCCAGAGATTCTGGGCTTTAATTGTGAGGTTTGCTCAAAAATCAATAACATGAAGTGAAAGTGTTTTATGTAAGTAGGAGTATGTAATTGATAAACAGTGCTCTATCAGTAAACAGTAGTTAGGGAGGCACAAGCAAATATCAATCCTGTTTGAAGTCAATAAGATTTGTCTCTGATGTTAGTCAATACATAACAGGATCAGGCCCATGCTTTGTAGCACGGTGCTTTGATACTGCACAGATTTGTCTTTGTGACTGTTTTTACACAACAATAATTAAAAATGAGAAAAGCAAACTTCCCTACAATTAGGCCAAATGTACTGTATATACTTGTTCCAAAACAGCAGCAGGTGGGTTAGAATTCCACAAATATCAAGCAAACATGAAAAGGAAATAATTTCTTCTTATAGTCTTACAGATTTTTCACTGGTTTCTAGAAGGAGCAATTTATAATATAGCTCTGCCCAGGCATGCATTCAGAAAAGTGATTTTCAGCTACCAAAGCATTCTGCTTTCTCCTTTGTGTGTGAATTTACTTCGCCTAGTGTGGACAGCAAGACAGTTCTCTAAAATTTCCAGGGTTGAGTCTATCATTTTTGCAAACTGTTTCTGTGTAAAACTCAAAACCTGAACAAAACCAAAAAGTTTCCATTCAAATTTACATGATCACTAGTGTTAAACATGACTCAAAGGTATACAAAGATAGGGAGAGCTGGCTTTGAAAAATTCAGGATAAACTTTAAAAAAAAAAAAAAAAAAAACACATTCTGGATTTTTCAAGGCTGGTTGTGGCAAAATTTGCACTCAGGACAACTGAAAAAATAGTTATACAGAGGAGAGCAAGGCCACTTTTTGTTTATAGGTGATATATTTTAATGAAGTATGATAGTGTTGTGCACAAGACATCTATGTTTGATATCAAACATGACTTCAGCTGATTTAAGGATCTCAAATTTGACTGTAAGGAAGTAGTTTGTGCTATCATATCTCAGTCCAGTAATGCATGTCAGCACATCCATACTCTTAGTGTGTGCGAAGCTGCAAGCCACACATACTTACTTACGCATTGATTTGAATCTGTAGTTTTTAGTTTGTTTCCTTAAAATAATTTGCAGATGGTTCATTGCAAAGAATTGTGCATTAGTAGCAACAAGAGGCTATTCCAGGCTAAGTATTGCCCTCTTCTTGTTTGCACGCTGCCAACAGGACTAAAGTTTACCATAAAGACAGCTGGAGGAAAGCTTAATAATCACCGTAGGTTTTAAACTGCTCATTAGTCACTAAGTTCCCAGGCAACAATAAACATACTGGTAAAAATCCTATTAAAAAGTATTCAATAGAAATGCAGACAAATGAAATCTAAAGACGTCAATTTAGTGTCTAGTGCCAGAGGCACTCACAGTTTTAAGAAACTTTTAGCCAAAACTGGAAGACATATATTTCATTATTTTTTTTTAAATATCTCTCTCATTTTTTTTCTCCCCTCCCTGCTCTCAGAGAACTGGAGGCCACATGAGACATCCTGGGGCCTCTTCCTGACTGTGCCTCAGATGCCTTCAGCTGGGGCCATGCGAAGTGGTGGACCGCCTGGGGCTCCAGCCAGCCCAGGGACTGCTGTTGGCGGTGGCCAGGAAAGTGCCAGCTTTTGCAGATCCAAACTTGCAGGAGAGCACCAGACCTGCCAGGCAGCACGCTGCCATCCCAGCAGGCGTGCAGGATAAGCAATCCTGGTCCGGGGATGGCTTCCCACTTCATGGTGCTTTCCCTCAGCCCTGAGCCCCACAGCCATCTCCACAGGAAGAGGCAGGGCTCACCAGGCCCATGGGGTGCTGGGGACGGATCTCAAGGGGCAGTGGCACCACAAAATGCTTGGGCAGGAGGCAGGGGCAGGGAGGAACATGAAAGAGCCAGGAGTGCAGATCTAACAGCTGCTGAGGGTTTGCTGGCCTCTGGACTGACTTCAGTCATCACTAGGTGTAAAAGGTACGTTCCCACTTCTTCCCAGGTCAGCAGCAAAGGAATAAAGCCATGCTGTGTGACAACTGTCTCTCTGGTGCTCAATAGCAGTGTCCCCATGGTGGCCTAGGGACTTGGGAGACCTCCCTTGGCTGGGTCAACTGTGCTCATGGTGACCCTGCAGGCAAGCACAGCACCTGAAGCCACCCAGTCACAAGAGCCCTTGAAAGGTGAGAAGGCAGCTCAGCCCTGCCACCACTCATCCTTACGCCTGCAAGCAAAACCCATTGTCCATGTGTTCTCCATTCCACTGCCAGTCCTCTGAATCACTGTGTTCTCCCTGCTTTCTTGTACCTAGCTTGCATAATGTTTCTTAAAATGTGAAGAAAAAAAAATAAAATACTGCCTACAGAAGTTTTTGGCTATTCTTTGTATAACCTGTCATTTTCTTTATTCACTGAGCAAGGCAAACTGTACAGCAGAAACAGAAATGTGCATTTTTGCCTGACCTTTATGCTAATAGCTTCATACTGACTGGCAGGAATAATTTCAAAATACCAGGAAAGCAATTAAAAGAAAAAAAAAAAAAAAACACCTTGACATGTAATAAATAATTTAACACCTCACCCTAACGCAACCTGCAACATCTTTCAGTCATATTACGGATGTATACTCATCAGTTTATTTGGTGTTTTGCATAAATTTCATTAGTACAAGCAGAGTAATATTAAAGCACACACATATACACAGTTTGGTGGCTTTTCAGCTCATTATGAAATACTTCACCTCTGGGCAGATGACTAACATGCTATTAAACTTCTCTATCCTTGAGTCACATCGTAGCCAAAAAAGGGGTGCAGTCACTCAAAACCTTCATTAAATGAGCTGAATACACCCACTCAGGGAAAGTGCTGTTGTATGACTTTAATGTGTCCTACGGCAGCATTAACGTGCTGCTGGGTCCTTTAGATGTTGTGGAGCCTCAGAAATTACACCATAGCAGAATCTGGGAGGGAAGCACTCTGGCTAATGGGAAGAAACCTCTGAGTTGTGGCAGTTTGTACATGGCACCACTGGTAGATGCGCAGGGGCAGGAGACAGAAGCTGTGTGTGTGCCACTGTCGAAGTGTGGTGCTGCAGTGACATCCTGGTGCTGGCTGCATTTGAGCCACCTCAGTTCAGTTCAGTACCCCCGAATCCTGCCCTGCCAATGCTTCCTCCAAGCACAGACACAGTGTTGAGGGCTTGACACAGCTGGCGAGAACAGGTATCAAACTGCAGTCTTTTCCTATTGATTTTATTATTAGTTCTGTCTAAAACTAGATTTAAGTTATTTCCTTTTTTTCCACCCTCTCTTCTAAACCAAAATGTTCAGGAAGAGTCAAAAGCACATAATGGCTACAAATGGTGAATAGCAAATCCAAATGCTTATATAATACATGATATCTTAGGAAACTGTGAATTCAATGAAGAGAAGAACCAGCCTGTTTCCAAGGGAGGTAGGATACACTTTTTATCATCCTGGACATTAAAATCTTTCTATAGAATACTACACGAATTAAATTAATAATTCCAACAAGAAACAATTTTTTTCTGGTAAAGAATACGTAATTTGGCTTTAAGAATTGGCTTCTTTGTCACCGTAACTTCTTTGTCTACCATTAAAGCTAACCCTATTAAATGTTGCATGAGAGTGACTCAAAGGCATTTAGAGGAACACAACTAATTATCTATACAGGACCAAACTTGACAGAAAATCTGGGGTATTGTTCTGGCAGTAGCTGACAGTGACGACATTGACAATAAACTCACCTTATGAACAGACCCATTCAGTGTGTTGTTATGAATGGAGAATCACTTGATTTGCTTATGTTTCATTTGGGTAGGAAAAATATTTTTAAATTAAAGAAACAAAAAAAAAATCTCATATTTTTTTCCAAGTCTGTGCTTCTTGGTAAGAACTTGTGGAATATGGTAGGCATTTTATTTTGTAAATGTAGTGGTTCCTTGTCTTGTTTTTGGAGGACATCCTAGTCACAATGTTGTAAATTCTAGCAATTCTTGTAAAAACCTAGTTATTCTAGTAATTCTATCACACAATGGTGTAAATATTAGTAATTCTTATAAATGACTTTTTCAGTAAGAGAACAGTGTGAAAGTTAAATCTCTTCAAGAAAGAAAAAGCAAAAACTATCTCCCTAAAGAACTTCATAAGTAAGAATTCCTTATTTTCCCCTTATTTATTTTGTATACTGCATTATGGAAGCACATGAATTGAAAGCAGTTTGTAAACTATTTCTCATAACTACAAAAGAAAAACTATCTGTGTGATAATGAAACAAGGGACTTTTAAAATTGTTTTTCAAGACACATACATGTATTTATTGTGAATGTCCTATGCAATAGATCCTGCTTTTTTCTGCATGGCAGTATTTTTTTATTTAATTCTTGGGATATAAGTTGCCTAATGTTGATCTTTACAGAACTTCTGTAGTCTAAATACTTAAAGCAAAAGATAAAGTAATGTGAATGTGATCAGACTTATACTGAGATAAATGTATTTAAATTGCCACAGCTACTTTCCTAGTGGAAAGCAAAACCCATCTGTATTTAACTACAACTGTAATTACAGTAAAGGCTCTTTCTGTGTAACTATTTTTTTAATAACCTACAGTTTTAATCAAAATAGACAAAGTCAGTAAAAGAAAAAAAAACAAAAAAAAAAACAGGCATGTAGATATGTAGATGAAACTTCAACCTCACCCTTCCACCACCTTTTTTTTTTTTTGGAAAATCACTTGGTCTTAAGTGTTGTCAGTATCTCTAAGGCATTACAAATTAGGTTCCTATATACTAGTTGTTACTTCAAAATCCAGGCTGAAGATGAAGGCAGCAGGAATTCATCCATACAATGGTATTATTATTATTAAAATAAAAAATCAACAAAATAAAAAATCACAAGCACGTTAGCAAAAGATGAATAATTTAGAGGTCAAGATGACACATATTAGACTAACTTCCTTTCCCCTTGAGATTCATAAGTCTATACAGGTCTCATAGTATGATTCAGATCTCGGAATTTAATGAAACAAACTTAATCAGAGGGGTTCATTAAATAACAATTCCGATACAGAGATAATTTAAAATGACTAATTAAAGACCTACTTTCTTTTCCTCTATCATTCTGTGAGAAGTTCTATAAAGGTGCAATTTGCTAATTAAATCATGAGATCCAAATCAATGTTTCAGGTACTTAATTGCTTGGTGTTATGTTCTTCTCTAAGAAATCATGGAAATTTCCATGAGAATAGAAGATGTACCTTCTTTTTATTATTATTTTTTAAATATATTTTCAGTTAAGATGTTGATAACATCTTGTTTTTTACAGTCTTAAAAAGAAAGGGAGCAAAACCAGGAAATGCTTTGAATTTGGGATTTGTTGAAATCGGATGTGTTTGAAATTGTGTATGTGGGATCATCTCTCAGAATTAAGTTGGTCTTTAGAAAACATATCACAAAGCACTTAAGTGCACACTTACTTTTGTCCTTGTTCATCAAAGAAAAGAAACACATTTTCTATTTCAAGGATATATTTCTGTAGTTTTGCACTACTTTCTTCTTTATTTCCTTATCCTTCTTGCTTCTAGGTCCAAAATTATAGCTGTAAAAGACTCACCTTAGACTTTGTTCTTATTCCTTGCTGAGAAGATAATTTCTGCAACCACAGCAAGAATGAAATATGTTTTCATTGTTGGTACTAGTGTGAAAGGAGATCTGCATTGCCTATCTTTTAAAAACTCCATCACAAAACGGTTAGGTAATGTTAAAGATTAAAATGCTCAACACATTGAACATCTTTTTCAGTTGCAAATGTAGAATTAGGCTTTGGAAAATGTGAGACTTTCAAATCAGCTTCCAACATTGTCCTGACTTCCCAGGTAGTATGTTGATTTCTGTGAGGGTGATGTCTATAGGATGAGAATTAATACCCATACTCCTTTTAAAGTATTCAAGGCAGCAAGTCAGGCTGAGTGCAGCTCATAATAATCAGGAAAATGATCAATGAGAAAAACACATTCTTATAAAAACACCATAATCCTATTTTTAGAATAGCTTTTAAGGGCTTTCCCTCGAGCTTTGTAATTCACTCAAAAACAGAGCTGGATTTCTTGCTTAAACAATATAGGTTTCATGGGTTTAACTCACTGATTTTCTGTTGTACTGTTGTAATTTTGTTTGGCTTACAGGTTTATAGCATTACTATTATTATTACAGAAAATAAATTATTTTGAGTGATCTTATGTGACAAATCTTTTATAACACCATTGGAGTATTAATGAGAAGAAAAAAAATATCAGTGGGTTTCATGTTCAGACTGAATTTGATTTATTGCAGAAGTTTTTGACATGTCCAAATGTAAACCAATTCTCTGTGTGCTGTTTCCTGACACCCTGTGTCCTAGTTAGTAAGTGGAAAAGCAAAGAACAAGTGGCATAGAGACTGTAGAGTGTCTGTGCTTTCCCAGAAACTTTCTCTTTGCCTTAGCACTTTGTCTTCATGGTTCCTTAGTCTAATGTGTGATTAACTCCTACACTTTGGAGTTTCAGAAATTGTCCATATAGTCACAGTTTGTGTTTAATTATTTTTGTGTTTAATTGTTCATTAGAAATGTGGCAAGCAATTCAGCTGCATTAATTTATTTTCCAGTTGGTAGTATACTCTTTGACTAGCCTCTGAACATTGCCTAAGCAGTCTTTATTTGTATAAAAACATGAGAAGAAATAAATGCCAGCTTCTCTTCTAAGGGATGATTTTGGAATCTGAATTTTAAAGCAACAAAAACAAATAAAAACACAAATGACCAAAAAAAAAAAAAAAAAAAAAG